TAGGGCCTGACAAGCTCTATAGTTGAAGTAAACCCTTTATCCAAAGGTGATAGTATCTAATAAGGTCTAGTGGCCTTGTAATATAGAAATAACTTATTGCAAGGTGGTCTATACTAGATGGCAATTGTAACAATGTCTTTTTGTTGTTCTATTTATAAAATTCTATTATTAACTCACAACTTTCATATACTTCATAACCACTTTCTTCAAATATTCTTTAAACATTTTCCAAATATTTGTAGTCAGTAATTTCACGTTGCCATACATATATTCATAAAAAGGTGCTTATATAGCAACAAGTATTGATTGTAAAACAAGCAATAACAATCAAGCGAAGTTAGACCCCTCTTATATAATAAATAAATTATGCATTATTTACATTATTTTGTATTATTTGTGAAGCATCCTGACAAAGTATAATTGTGAAAAAAAACTTAAACTAATTATAATACTGCGTTTTATCACATAAAAATATGTTAACAATGTAATCATTGCAAATAACTTATTCTTCTATTACTCTATTACACTTTCATTTAATCTCAACAATAATTCACTGATAATTTTATATTACAATTGTTGAAAAACAAATATTTTAGAAATAAAAAGATCAAGCATCCAATTAAATCCTAAACAAAGAGGTTTTCATTAATATTATTTTTTATTTTAAATTTAAATAAAGACTAAAAAACTTTTATATATATATTAATCCTCTATTATACTAAATATCATTTGTGATTATTTTCATACTAATTTTTTACTTATTTCCCAGTCTCATATAGATAGCTGGAAAATCAATAATATTATAAAAATATTTTAAAAAATAATAACAGCTTAATAATTTGTATTAAAACTAAATGATATTCTTTATTTAAATTTTATTTGATTAATATTTGACTAATATTTTATTATACATTATAAAAATATAATTTCTAATAAAAATATTGATCACATTTAAAAATAATATTAATATTAATATTACTACAATTTTCTATAGAAATTTTTGGAATTTTTGATTTTTGATACATTAAATCATTATCCAACTCATTTTTTTTTAATAAAGTTAGTATTGTTATATCGTTTAATTAGATCAGATGCTTTAGAAAATCCTAAAAAAAATTATAGTTAGTTCTAAAAAATAAAATTAATAATTTCAATAAATGTTTATTTACATACTGAATTGATTTGTTAAATCCTTTAATACCATATCTTTAGTAGAAATTAGAAGAGAAGCATTATCTCATTTACGCTTTATAGATTGATGTTAATAGGCGAATACTCCTGCAATTATTTTATGTCTTGAAAAATTCATCTGCTTATCAAGTATAATACCAGATTCAACAAGATTGTGAATACCTGTTGATCTCATTAAATAATTACATTCTTTAAAATCTAAACCAGAATCAGAACATATATTATATATCATCATATCATGTGATTCTTTTCTTAACTTTGTTGTTAAATATCAATTACTATTATATATATTTTTTGGTGTATTAATTGATACAAAGAAATAATCATCCTCAATATTATTAGAACGTTTATTTAAGAATTTTTGGATATCTACAACAGAGTATAAATTTTTTCTGAAGTATTAGGTAGTATAAAACTTGTATCAGATGCTGCATATAAATCTTTAATTCCTCCTACATAATTCTTTTCCAAGCTTTATTCTACTATTATCCATTTTAATAATCCAAGAAGCTTTTAATCACTATCTCTTAAATAGCATAATAAAGTTAATCAGATTCAAACCCTTTGTAAAAGACCTTTAAATGTATCTGTTTTAGTGACAGGTAAGTTAAGTATAAATTTGATTTCATCAATTTTTAAAGGGATCTAATTGTTTTTGATTATTTTGTTCTTGATTAACAATTGATTTTATACAACCATCCAAAATTCTATATAAACTTTTAAATTAAAAAGTATCAAATAAATTCATAACTCTAATTTTCTCAGACATTTTAGAAATTCCTCTTGTTATAAATCCAGTATATAGTGATAATGCTTTATATTTTTGACCATTAGATTTTCTTACTTTTACTAAAATTTTTCTAACTGTTTAAATAATATTTTATTATCTAATTTAATAATTTTATTTAAATAACGATAGGCTTTATGAAACTTGATAAATAAATCTATTCACACATTGTTAGATTTATCTGTATTTACATTTCTTAATGTATTCTGAAATTTTAAAATTATTTCTTTAGTTGATGAAATGAATCATATTGTCATTAATAATATAAAAGAAAAATAAATTAAATAATGTGAAATAGAAAGAAAAAATTTAAGGAAAAAAAAATGAAGTGTAAAAAAAGATAATGACAAAAAAAAAATGGTTTAAATCACTAAAAAAAGTTAAATCGCTCAAATAAGGTTAATTCACTAATCATGTATAATCACATATTATGTTTAATGAATAACACGCTTCTGAAAATTACTCATTTATTTTATGAGATTAGAAATATCATGGTTTTTTCCCAAAGGGAAAAAACTATAATATTTCTAACCTCACATAAAATAAATAATACAAATAATTGAATTGAATAAATGGATAAATTAACTGTTTGTAAACATTCTTCTGCTAAAAAATTCTAAATCTATAATTGATATTAGTAATACAATTTTAAAAAATTACATAATACCTTACTTTTTTGAAAAATACTAAAAGAAAGATAATAGTGAGAAGAATTTATAAGATTATTTCTGTTTATAAAAGAGATATAATATGTTGATTATTATTATATTTTATACTTTATATAATATTGTTAAATATTACGACTACTATAAAACTATTTGTAAAAAAACTGCTTACAAATATATTTTTATTATTATTAATGGTAACAGAAATAAAAATTGCATCTTATTTGGTTTTTATATATATTGTGTTAATCATGTTAAATTTTAAAAGCTTGCTATCACTAGTTATCATTATCAATAAGTTTTATATAAAATAATTATTATACTAATATTCTAATACTAACATCTATTTAAAAGCATATCATTTATAATTTTTATGATTAATATATTTATTAACGCTTATCTATTTCAAATAAGCATGTTCATATTTTTTTGATTTTTCTGTATAAATAATAAATGTAAATTGAAAAGAATAATAAAATAATATAATAAATAGATTGAATATAAGTAAAATAAATACCTTTGTATTTTATTTCTTATTTGAATCAATCACCCATAATAAATATCATATCTGTCTTTGTTTTTTAGCTTCATTTCATATTTTATCTGATCAAACTAATAGTATGAGTTTTAGTATTACTCTTAGTAGATTAATAATACTAGTTGTAATAGTGATTGTTTAAGGAAGAAAAAAAGAATTACCATTTCTGTCAAAAACCTTTTCATATATTGAATGATACTTACAGAATATTTTTGCATATAATGCATCTAATTATAAATCAAAATAATAATTGTAAAATATTTCTTCAAATATAATGATCAAGAGCAATAAACGGAATTTAAATTCTAATATTAAACTACATGTCTAATAAATACTAAGTTTGATAATGCTCTTTTTATATAATTTTTCAATAATACAGACTCTTCTTCTTTCGAATTCTTTTAAGAAGTTTTGCTTATATTCTCTTCAAGTAGAATAATAATCTAAATGCATACATATCTTAGAAAATTTACTTCAAGTTTCAAAATGCTAAAATTTACGTGTTAATTTTCTTTAAAGAACTACAAAAAATTAGAATTTTCAATGTCATTATATCACAATACTACTCAACAATAGCATTAGTTATATTTTTGACTATAATAAAAGAATTCTCAGCAACATACAAAGATTTTAAAACTCAATTAGTAAAACAACATCTAGAATCATCTTTAATGAATTATTTGCTCTAGAAAATTCATTTACTAGCTATTATAATTGTTAAAACTACTCAAGAACCTGTAATTAGCCAATAAAATTAACTATCAATTAGTTAATACAATTGAATTTTAAAAATCTATCCTTCTTTGAGTTAATAGAGATTTTCTAATTTATTTCCATTTTTCTAATTAGTTAACATCATTTCTCATTTCTGATTGGCTAATTTTCTTTATATATATATCACATGATAAATTATCATTAAAATTAAATTTCATAAAACATCTTGTTGATTGATAAATTAAATATTCTTTTTATTGTTAATTAAATGATCAATTAAAAATACTTAAATGTTTTAAATATTTTTAAAATAAAAAATTTTTTATTTGATTTTTTTTTCTATTGAAAAGTTTTTTTTTTGTGAAATTTTTATAATAAAAATAAATTTTTGTTAAAATTTATTAATTTAAGAATATAGTTCGTTAAATCATGTGATCATATAAAAATTTTGGTAAAAATCATGATTTTGTAACAGTGTATAAGTAAAATTTATCATAAACTGTATAATCTGAATAAAACTTATTTACTATATTTTTCAGATCAAGATCGATATATCTGTAAAATTTTAAGATAAGTTTGTTAATAATATTAACCTAAAAAATAGGTAAAGTTTCATAAAATCTTCAAATTATAGCTTTAGGGTTACAAATTATGAATTTGTACTATATAATTTTATTAAAACAAAAAAATTAATAAGAAAAGTTTAAAGTTAAACTTGTTTTATATCTATTTTAAAAAAAATTTTTGTCTGAAGTTTATTAAAAAAAATGGTTTATACAAAGAAGCTCTTTTATATATATAATTATATATAGAAATATCCATATTTTATTGGTCAAAAATTCTTATTTTTTCTAATGAAAATTATTGATTTTATTCACGAGCAAATAGGTCATATTTAATAATAAATACTGTACCAGCATTATAAGTTTTAGAAAAACATTCTCAATTTCAAGATATTTTGTAAAATCAGAGTGTTGAATATTATCATATCAAGGTTAATAAAGAAAAAACTTGGGTTTTAATTTTACCTAAATATATTATTTTTATTAAGATGAAAAATAATATCTTTTAACTTTTTATCAATATTTCTGAAGATCAAAAAATTATGTTTAACTGGATTGACTATGAAGAAAATGAAAATAATATTTTAAGTATTATTACTTCTAATTCTCAATCTAACTAATTCTAAAGTTTTATTATATATATAGATTCTGATAGAAAAATATTGATTCCTCATCTTTTTAATCTTAATATATCTGGTATCACATAAATATTAGTAATAGCTATTTATCAACAGTATTCTCATTTGTATCCAGAATTTAAATTTACTTTTAAAGCTCAACAAGTAACTGAAAAAACAATTAAAGTTATACAAAGAAAAGCAAAAAGTTATGAAAGAAGTTGAAGATACTTCTTTAGAAATATTTATTTGTGAAGAACTGATAATTACAATGGGAAAAATGAAAAATGTAAATTATGATAATTTTATGACATTACTAATAGAATATAAAAAAATGAAATAATTACTATATAATGCAAATTATCAAATTAAACATCTTAAACAAAAGATAGAATCATTTACATATGAAGAAGATAAAATGGAAGATAAAAAGGATAAAAAGAAAGATAAGGATTAAGAAGAATTTTTGATAATACATATTAATAATATTACTGAAAAATTAAAACTTAGCTCAATAATATTAGTTAGTACTGAACAATTTTTCTCTTTAATTTTGTGATTACCTTGTAGCTTTTGTGTAAAACACACTTTTTTATAAAAACAAAAGTTACAACTGCAAATTTTTCAGTTAAAATTATTATGTTATGTCAATTTTATAAAATATCTAGCGAATTTACAAATGAATTATTAGATATTAATTTTAATGCTTATGTAATAATTATAGGATTAGCAGGAGGAATAAATAGACTATCACTTTAAATGGTTTTTGCATATGTAAGAATTTCTTTATAACTTTGTAAAGTTTCATTTCATTATCATCAAGCTTTAACATTTGAAAAAATTATTGATGCAGCAGAAACTAGTTCAGAAATAGCTTTACAAAAAGTTATTGAACATTATAAAATTAAAGGCAAAAAATCTATTCCAGTCAGTTTTAACTGCTCTTATTCTCATATACATAATGCATTACAGGCGAATGGTAAAATAATTTATGGTAGAAGAAATATTAATAATAATTATATAATTTTTATAAATTTATATAGTTTATTAATGTTATACTAATATTATTTGATTTGTATGTAAAGGTTATTCATATAAACTAATAATTGCATTTTTATACTATTGAAAAAACTCAAAAAATGAAAATGAAAATGGAGATGAGAAGCTCATTAGAAAGGGCAATTTTGATCTGAGTTCATAGCAAATAGAATATGCTATTTTAATTGTTATTATTGAAAAATTAACGCCAATTCTTGAAAAATAAGACTTATTACTCAATATTACAATTAAATGGTGATTTAAATTCTAATAAAATATTAAGTAATATTTAGAATTGTCAATCAAATATTTACTGATTTGAAATATATTACTAAAATATTCAAAAAAATTGTATATATCATATATTTTATTATTTTTCATTATGTTATATAGATATATAAATTATACATTATTTTTTTTAGTAAAAATGTATAATAAGTGGATTGAGTTTAAATAACATATTATGAACTATTTTTTAGCATATGTATATATTGCGGTTTTTGAAAAGCAAATAATGAAAATTGTGACCTTTAAGAAAGGATATCTGATATATTTAAACTGAAGGTTTACTTTAACATTTATGTAATAATCATGAGTTATGTTGGATAGAAATATATTGAGTTAAACAAAATTCTGAATTATAATTTAAAGAACCAACTCTCAAAACATATATATCTTTTGAATATAATCAATTCAAAATGATGTTAGAATTATTTTCAGACTTTTAATCAGATAAGAAATTATAATAATAACACAAATCTTATAAAATAAAGAATTTAATAAAGTTAAACTGATTTATATATTTAAGTTAATTGATTATAATACTTTGTATAAAATAAGACATGCTCTTGCAATTCTGCATAATAATAAAGGAATTTGTAAAATGCTAAATATAGTTTGTAAAGCAAGTAATACTTTATTATTATAACAGGATCTTTTGAATATTACTAAGATTAAAAAAAAGTATGATCAACAAAGAATAAATAATGTTAAACGAATTAAAAAATATAATACTAAACACACTTTTATATTGCAGAATTTACATAAAAATCTTAGTTTTTTTGATTAGAATCAGGTAATATTTTATTTTAAATTGATTGTTTAATATTATACTTATCGAAATTTAATATAAATATAAGAACTTGTTTCTTATAAAAAAACTCAAGATCTAATAGCTTTTATCTATCATTTGCTGCTTATATTCCTGATTTTAATAAGATAATTAAATGTATTGTATATTATATATTTCTAAAATACACTGCTAGAGGTCTTTGTCAGCTATATTGATTTTATGTTAATAATGGTCTGAAAGATAGAATTATTGATAAAAACTATCAACCAAAGAATGAAATTCCTGAAAATATTGATTTAAAAACAATGTATGAATCAACACTTAATAGAATTTTTTAGTTTTCAGAATTTTGAGACAGAAAAAAAGATGCAGCTAAAGCTTTTATATAGAATTATAATATTTTCATTATAAAACAAACAGGAGGTGATAAAAGCTTATGTTATGCTTTAGCATTAGTTATAGTAATAGAAGTTACTGTAGTATTTTCTCTTCTAAAGGTATTAATAAATGATCAAGTACTTAAATTGATTAAAGTAAAAAGTCCTTGTAATGGTCTTTACACATCAATAATATAACCAATATATTACCAAAAAAAAGTGTTTTAAGAAATTACTTGTAGACTAACATAAATAATTATCACAACTCCAAAAAATTTAAATTCAATGTGAGTTTTTGACAAATGTTAGAGTGAATTGAAGCCTTCAAGAAAATTCAATTTGTGATAGATGAAGTACATTGCATTTTAGATCAAAAGCATTTTAAGTAAGATTTTTGAATATTAAATAAAAATATTTCCTTCTAAATAACCTATTATTTATTACTTTTTATTTAGAGATTCATGAAATTTTCTATGCAATCTTAAAAAAATATTTCCAAATGCACTAATTTTACTTTTAACAGTTACCTGTCAAATGGTTGACGTACAAGAAATTGTAATACATCTTAATATAGATAAATGAAAATATCTCTAGTTCAGAATAGATCTTTTGAAAATAATTCAATTATTTACTAAGTACAAAAAAAAATAATAAAGAATAATTTTTAGAAGATATTTTGAAAATTATCAATGAAATTAAAATTGAAAAATGTATAATCTATTGCATATCTATATGAAAATGTAAAAATTTACTACAGTATAAATAATTTAGTTCTAACAAAAATTTTTTAAGCGGCCAAATTTGAAATGTTGATCTTTTGTCATGTAATAAAAAATATTGTAATTTTATTGGTCTGTGTACACGCACGTGATAGGGATATCAGATACAATAGTCAATCACAATTATATAGTCAATCACTATTATCAATAATCAATTACTATTATTAAAATAATAGTCTAGATTAATTATTTTTTTTTATTACAATAATAAATCTTTTGCTTTATTTTTTTGTAAGAAGAATCTTTTTTTTTTTATAAAAATAAAAAAACTTTTTATTGAATAACAATATATGTATGATACTCTTGCTAGTCAGATGTTATTAATACTTCTGATTTGTTAATATGCCACATCTAATAAAATGTAAAAAGCATTTAAGGAAAGCTTGTGAAGCAAAGACTGTGAACTGAAATATCAAAAGTAACATTAATAATGTGCAAATTGATATTGATGATATATTCGTTTATGATAATTCCAATAATGATGACCTTCTTAATGAACTGTAAATATTGTAAAAAGGTTGCAAGAAGCAGCAAAAAAATATTATCAAAAACATACCTATTATAAAGGATGTAGACTGTATTATGTTGGTAATTCAAACTGCATTAAAAGAAGAAAAAAATTAGCAATAGTACGAAGCAGTAAAGGGGACTTTTACGTTAGATACTTTTGAAGTACTGAGAAATCTACTGAGGATATTAATGTAGAAATAGATGATAGTACTAGTGAGCAGTCAGATGATGAAATTGAAGGTTACAATTGGCATAATAGGATTTCAACTGATCTCGAAAATCTGAAATTAGATATCAAAAAAGAAAATATAAATAGTGAAATTTAGGTACGTTTAAATAGCATTCGTCTTTACCTTCAACTTGTAAAAAACAACTATTCAAAAATAGAAGCAAGTAATATTATTACTGATGTAGCAGGAAAAGGAGTATATTACGCCAGATGTGTTCATTCTTGGGCATATAATTATGTAATAACTCATCAAATTCCTTATTCCTGCTGAAAATATCATGCTAAGATTTGAAGCTTTCTTTGGGATAAGGATATCCTCCTTCAAGTAAAATCATATATTCAGGAGTATAAGTAAGACATTACTTCACAAATGCTAATGATACAGATAAATAAGGTCATTTTATCAGGGCTTAGATTTGTGTCATTTCTGAATATATATATCAATACTGCGAAGAATTATTTGAAAGAGTTAGGATATGTGTATACTAAGGTAAAAAAGGGAATGTACGTAGACGGACATGAGAGAGAAAATGTGATAGCCTATCAAAAAGTATTTTTAGAACAAATGAATGAACTTGAAAATAGAATGTCTATTTTCTCAAAAGATAATTTGGAAAAGATAACCTGATCAGATAATAATATACAACCACTTATCCTTGTCACACATGATGAATACATTTTCTCAGCTTATGATGGAAGTTGGAGTCTTTAGATTTCTAATAAAAAGCAACCTTTATGAAAAAAAGGTAATGGTTGCCCAATTCATGTTAGCGATTTCTTAACTAAAATTTGTAACCATTTTGCCTTTTCTGACGAAATGCAAATACCAGATATTCCTAAAGAAGCCTGTGTCATTATGCATTCAGGACAAAATAATGATGAATGGTGAAAAGCTGAGGACTTAGTAAATCAAGTAGTTGAACGTGTTATACCTAGTGTTGTCATGAGACATTGATGGGATACTGATGGGACGCTGATGTAACATAGATAGACAGATAGGATATTTGGGACATAGTATAGAACAGATTACATATAGCTAGGATATATAGCTGGAATAACAAATCTTTGAGTTATCAAAAATGTACATCACTGGTTATACCTATATTTGAAGCACATTTTCCAGGATGCCAGGCATTATTTACATTTGATAATGCATTAAGTTATGCTGCTTTTTTACCAAATATACTTGTTGCTAAATATCTAGAGGAAAGTAGCCAAAGATGCACAGCACATATTTTGGTGATAGAATTCAACAAGATATGAATTTTCTATTAGACTATCATATTCTTAAGTTATGTAAATAGCCAAAAGGATTAAAACAAGTTTTGATGGAAAGGAGATTGTGGCTAAATAAAGGATTAAAATTAGAAGAAGCACGAAAATTAATGAGTGAGTAACCAGACTTTTTAGTACAAAAGGGACAACTAGAAGAAGCTATTATTGCAGCTGAACATCAAGTTATATTTTACCTCAAATTTCATTGTGAACTGAACTATATTGAAAACTTATGGAGTGCAGCTAAAAAATTTAGTCGACTACATTGTGATTACTCGTGAATAGGATTACAAGAAACTGTTTTATTAACCCTCACCTCTATTTTACTTACAACTATTCGCCGGTATGCAAGAAAAGCTTTTCATTATATAGATGTATATCAGAAAGGTTTAACAGATAAAGCAGTAGAATTTGCAATTAAAAAATATCATTCACACTGTCAGATTTCTGATTCAATTTTACAATCAGTTAATATTTAGTAAATTAGTTTTTGTTTGCATAAATTTATTCATATTGGCTATAGGCAAAAAAAGAGAAAAATTAATATTATGCAAATCCTAATAATAACAATTAATACAAAAAACTTAAACTTATTTTTTTTAAACATTAATGCTTTTAGATTTTGAAATGAACATTTTATTATAACAGAACACTTTACTGTAACAAAACACTTTATTGTGACAGAATAGAAGATAAATTTATTTTATTCTCAGTAAAATACAATTAAAGATAGCCCAGTATTACAAAATGTAAATCAACTAATCAACGATAGGAATTATGATCATATATATTATATGTAGAATGGCCAAAATATCTGATTTAATAATAAAATAGTTTGACTTTGAATTGCTAATACTCTACTAAAAATCATTTTATAAAAAAATTAAAATCATAGTTTTGTTAAGCTTGAGTTACTCTATCATTCTATGATTATATTTTATGCTTATTATTTTTTTTTGAGTGAGTAGTAGTAATTTAAATTTTATTAATTTTATTCGTTAGGACTAAGTTGTTTGCACTGTAACAAATCTCCAGACTAAACTTCAAAAAGAACTATGGTACATTTTACTTATACTCAAAAATAAAATCACGTAATTAAATTTGTAAATAACTTTATTAATATATAATTTATAAAAAAATAAAACTGATAAAATGAAAGTTTATAACATAAGCTACAAATTAATTTTATTATAAATTTTTGCAGCTATTAGCATTTAAGTTTAGACATTTATATAGAAATTAGCATAATTTTGGACTATTAATTTTCGTAAGTTACTATAATTTCTCATTGCATTTAATAAGTTACACAAAGTTTAAATTAATTTTCTGATACCCTTTCTTTTCAAAAAAAAGTGTTTTTATAAAAATCAGTTCTGCAAAAATAATGGAAGATTCGGAAAGTCTAAAAACTTTAAAGAAAATTTTGATACTGAAAAGAATTTTGGATTTGAGGAGAAACTTGAAGTTGAGGAAATAGCTGGTGAGTGGAAGAATAAAGAAGATAGTGGCTGGGAAGATGAAAATTGGGTGAATGAAAGAACTTTACAAGTTAGGTGAAAAGTTTTAATAAATTTAGTTTGGAAGAATAATGCAGTATTAAATAAATGAAAGTGTGGTTCTTATCTTGTTAGGCCGATGAAAAAGTCTACATATTATAACAAGTAGGGTCCAAATGGTACTTATACTGTTGCTGTAAGTAACACAAAAAATATAACTGGATATTTTTCTCCTACAAAGGATTCCAATAATAATACTTCTCTAGATACAGCTGATGAAGTTTTAGAATTTTTAAATAATAGAAATGAAGAGGATGGTTAGACATTTGAAAATGCTTTGCAAAAGTTATAACGTTAAAAACTGAATTAGAAAAATCTTATAAGAAAATATCTATTATAGAATACAATAAAAAAAGAGCAATCTTTGAATATCTTCAAAGATTAGATGAAAATAGTAGAGGGAAAATGGATGTAAGTATGGAAGCCGCTAAAATAGTATTTATTAATACTGGTTCCTATAAAGTAACAATGATCCATAAATGGGCAGTATATTGGTTAAAAACTGGTTATCTTCCTCCTATTTATCATGGAAAACATCAAAAGACAGTGCGGTTAATTAATGATAAGGACATAGCTAATAGATGTAAAGTTTGGATTCAAACACAAAGTGGTGGAGTTACTCCAAAAACTTTTAAAGAATTTGTTGAAAATACAGTCAACTCTTGATATAACGAACTCTTGATATAACGAATTTTTTGAACAAATATAATAAAAATACTCTTGTTATAGCGAATTGACCAATAAAATCTCTTAAAATCTTCACTATAGCCTTATAGTGAAGTTGAGGTCTAGGACATAGAGTTCGTTATAACAAGAGTTGACTGTACACTTCTTATTGAAATGGGTATTACTAAAAAAAAATTTATTTCATCTATAACGGCTACCCGATAGCTTAATATTCTTAGATTTTTTTATCAACAACATTATTAAGGCATATATTACGATAGACATAAATGTGAAGATGTAATAACTTATTGAGAAGAATTTTTTAAAACAATTTCTTATTATGAAACCTTTATGATAAAATATAATGGAAGTGATATGAAGCGTGTTTCTCCTAAATTAAAAGATGGTGAAAAAGAACATATTCTAATCACTCATGATGAATGCATTTTTTATGCTAATGATGGTAAAAGAGGAGTTTGGACTCTAAATGGTAAATTACTATTACGAAAAAAAGGGAATGAAAGGTCAATTATGATTAGTGAATTTTTTCTGAAGCTTGTAAACGTTTGTGTTTAAGTCAAGAAGATATATTAAACCATCCAACTGTACTAAATGAAGCATGTATTTATTTAACGTTTGGTAAAAATCAAGAGGGTTATTGGACTATTCAACATTTACTTGAACAAGTAGAATACAAAGCAATACCAATTTTTGAGGCTTTATTTCCCAATTGTGTAGCAGTTTTTGCTTTTAACAATAGTTCAAATCATTTAGCATATCATTCTAATGCATTATTAACTAATCGAATGAATCTCAAACCTGAAGGAAAATAAAATAAAATGAGAAGCACAGTATAGGAACCAAATAATCAATATCAAGAAATGGTTTTTCCTGATAATTATCATATACCAGAACTTCAAGGAAAGCCTAAGGGTATGGAATAAATTCTTCGTGAAAGAGGACTTTAGAATAAAAAAATATGTGGCAGATTGTAGTTTATGCAAAAATAAAGCTATATGAAATGATCTAACATAAGCTAAATATTGTACAAGGCATATTATATCATTACAATCTGATTTCTTGTACAAAAATGTGCACTTCAAGAAATGATAGAAAAAGCTGGTCATGTATGCATTTTTTATCCTAAGTTTCATTATGAGTTTAATTTTATTAAGCGATATTAAGAGGCAGCAAAACGTTATGCTTGAGAAAATTGTAATTATTTTTGGTTAGGATTATAAAAATAATTCCTTTAAGTTTAGGATCTATAAATCTTATTACAATTCAAAAATTTGCTCAGCATGCTTGGCGTTATATAGATGTATATAGGAAAGGAATTTCAGATAAATTGGCTGAATATGCAGTAAAAAAATATAAAGGTCATAAACAAATTTCTGATCATGTAATTGAAGAATTAAATAAAATTACTTTGTAAATTTTAAGTGTTTAATTTTATTTTTAAAAATTTAATATGTAAAATATATAAAATCATTATCATGTATACAGTCAACTCTTTTTACAACGAATTTTGATATAACGAATTTTACAATACAATGGATTTTCATTGTCAGACAGA